TTCTGGAAAGATATGAAAACAGCTGCTTAGACATTTCAGGAAATGTTTCCCTCAGACTATTGAAAGTGTTCAAAGCTTTAATATATTGTTCATTATTCACATAATTTGGAAATTAAAAAGATATTGATATTCTATTATTGTACTTAAGTAATAAAATGTGATGTCCTTTTTACTCTTAACATTACTATTAAATATCAAATAAATTAATATTAGTACTTCATGGTTAATTGTATCTGATGAAAAATCTCACAGTCTTGATAAACTACCAAGCAATTCTTTAAAATATTTTTATGGAAAAGTAGAATCTAGTCACAAATCCAAGGTCTAACCTCTCTTGACCTGAGATCTTGGCAGAGCAGGTAAGCACAGCAAGACTAGAGTTGACAAAATCTTAGAAGGGCAACCTGTATAGAAAACATATCTACTGCAGGAAATTAGATAAACTTATCAGTAGGCTGAGCTCTTTCTTTTGGCTAAGGAGCTAGGCAATGCTCAGAAAGTAAAACAGGCAGACGTCTCTTCTACATTAGCAGTAAAGCCAGGTTTCTTTTGCTAGTGGTTCAGACTTGAGCCATCAGCAAACACTGGATCCAGGCAGAAGCCTAGGTTTTAGTTAAGAGAGGAGCGAGTAGACACATGACAGTAGAACCCTCATTTCCACTCCATTAAATGTGTGTAAACTGATGTAGCAAAGCAAACAATTCATGTATATGGCAGTTCTACCTCAAACAAAAAAGCGTTTAGACAGAAAACTTCTGCTCCTGATGTTTTCCCCTTGTCACTCTTCCTCCAAAATGGCTGTGTTCACCTCCTACTTGTCCTCCTACACACTCAAGATCTTGTGTCTGTGGTGTCTCTTACTCAGTTAGCAGTTTACTCCTTGCCTGGGAGTTATGCGAAGCAGGTTGTAGGTGAGTCATTCTTACACATCCCATGGAGAAGTGCCACCAACCTGCATGACAGTAGCTTGTGGAAGCTAAAGCCACCCAGAAAACACGTACTAAATTATACCAAATCAAATGCCATCACAGCGCTGCTCCCAGCTCATTTATCTTGCCTAAATTAGTAGGTCAAGGGGGATTTTCTCCTTTCAAAGAAGGGAAGAATGCATCTATTAGCCTTCAGTGAGATGTATACCTTTGAAAAACAATTTCTTCCACAGCAAGGATGATATCACAGAATCACAGAATCACAGTGACAAAGTCAGAAACAAGTTTAAAACTACATCATCCCTAAATCACTCCAGTGGTTTCAACCAAATGTGATATCCTTACACTTCACTTGTAAGTTTTTTGGGAGTTAGTAGTCCATGCTCTCTTAAACAAATACTGTCTTCAGTTCCTCCCAGAGCTGAAGGCAGAAAAAAGTAAATTCGTTCCTTTGTCTCTGTTTTAGTGTGTTAGTGTGTTTGCAAAATATTTTGAGATACTTTGGAATAACAGACAGTAAAAGTAGGTTATGTTCACAATTAACACACAGGGGTTTTATAAAGCTTTAAAGCCACAGAAAAAAATTTATTCAGAAATATTACAACTCTGACCAAAGTGCAGCTATAACCTCAGAATAAGCATAAAGAGAAATCACTAGTTTAGTTGCTCTACAGAATAAAATTTTACATTTTTCTCCTGTTTATATTTGTTATGGAAAGGCAATCATTTTAGTGCTGGTTGAACAAGTCCAAATGAACCCTTATGGCTTGAACACAGCTCTTTCTTTAAAAGGTTTTTCTTTTGAGCAACAAATTACCTAGATTACTGCACTTTGCTCTACTTCGATATTTTCCCATAATGTTCAAACGCTAGAGGAAAGTGGGTTACAATACCTTCACATCAGTATTCTCCTCACTAGCCGGTGACATATTGCAGCAATGGCTTGTTGACATTAATGTCTACCAGGCTGAGGATGACTTTCTACATAATTTCATTTCATTTGAAAGAAAAAGCAGGTTGAGTTTTGGTTGTCTCAGACTGATGGTACTTAAACCTTATAGAAAGTCATTTTGTCAAGTTCTTACTTGCAAGTACTATATTGCCACAGAATATGAACGATGGTTTTATTTCAGCAGCTTTTTCCCCCAGCCACAGGAAATACAGCCCGTATAGGTAACGCACCAGCAAGAAGTACAGGCACAGTAGTATAAACAAACCACAGCCAGTGGCCCATCTGGGGTTTTACCACAGCCAAACTTCCCTTTAAGCTGTGGCTACAAGTCTTCTTGCTTAGTTGACCAAATTGTCTTTTTCTTAGTGTTGACGAGGGGAGAGGCAGAAATCCAGTAACATATAAAATATTGCATGCCCTAGCTTTTAGATACCTATATTTATATATCATTACATGCAATAAATATGTTGATTCAATTTTCTTGGAGCTGGTTCTAAAGCTCTATGATTTCTCACTGCAACATTTGATGTTTTTTCCCTCCCCTCCAAAAAAGAAAATAGAAAAAAAATGAAAATTTTCTGGGAGGACAGTGCATAAATAAATCAGTTCTCTCGTCTCTAGGGAATAAAACAGCAGGCCACTCACCCCCAGGTCTCCTCCCCTGACTGTCCCACAAATAACTGGTACAATATTGCCCTTTGTGCCTCAGAGAAGCCATGAAAGGTGTTTTCCACCCTGGTTTTGAATGGTGGCCATTTCGCTTGTCTTCCTGGAGGAGAAACAGGTGATTTGAGCATAGTGGCACATTTTGCACAGAGGCACTCTTGTTACCTGAAAGCATCTCGCTACTTCAGGCAATTTGATGTTTGTACTGTTATGCAGCTGGTACTTCCCAAAGTAACAAGCCATTTCTGTAACTTCAGATGCTCTCAGAGACTTGCACGATATCTAGTAATGGCCCACTGCTCTTCACGGCCACTCAGTGAAAACAATATCTCGTGGACAACTGGGAAAGAAGACTGTAGTTAGGTCAAATATGTTGGTCAGGCCAATGCTCAACGCCACCTCTACCTTGGGGAGATGTGACAACGACATAAAAAACCCACAAACTTAATTTTCTAAGGCCCCAGGTGTCTTGTTTAGTGCGAGCTCAGGTATCTCACTGGTGCACATATGCAGCTTCACGCTGCTCAGCAAAGCCCCAGGATAGTTTTAGAGAACAAGGCAGAGTTGGACCCTATGCATGGTCCCTGATTCAAGTATTAACCAAGATGGGATCCCCTGGATTTCAGATCTAAAAAGAGCAGGGGTAGGATCTGCGCCTCCCCCATCAGGCACAGCCTGTGGTCCTCTACTGGGGGAGTTGGCTCTGAGGAGCAGAAGAATCAGCCCATGAAAGTAGATGCTTTTTGTAGGCAAGCTCCTAACAGCTGATCACTCTACATGCGTGAGCCTTCCTTTTACTTTTTCTTGCTCAAGTGCCAAGCAGGGAGCAGATGGTACATTACTCAGCCTTAACTGGAGGGTAAGAAAGTGTGATTTTTTTAAAAAAAAAAATCAGTTGAGACCCTCAGCCCATTTAGATTCCCAGCTCAAAGTTTATTTGTCTTACACAGAACTTGTACTTTCTACACCTCTCAAATGCTAATCCTCTCCACACATATGCTCATTATGCAAAAGCATATGACAAACACCATCTGGGAAAATAAATAGCTCCTCAGCTAACTGCACTGCTCCCTCCCCTTACATCACCCACCTCACTATTGTCTCTCCTATTTTTATCTGCAAGACAGCAATCACTCAATCAAGCTATTAACTTAAAAGTGCCATCTCAGTCAAGCAAGCTGCAGATCCCAGCCTGGGCAGTCAAACCCGTTCCTTTTTTCAAGATGTTGTGCATCTTCATGATAATTTGAAGGCAGCCATAGCACTGAGAAAAATAAGTGTATCTTTTAAAGGGCAGTTGATATCACTGAGAGATACTAGTCATGACCCTCAGAAGTCCATGCTTGTTTTTCAGCTAGAAGGTTATATTTTCTCCTCCATGAAATATGCAGCTCTTGCCACAAGTTCCACCTTGTTTCCATGGATTCCTGAGATAGTCCTTCATCTCTGACAGATTATTGCTCATACTGTTCAGAGCCAGGCAATGGTGCTAAATAGGGAATGACATTAGCCAAGTTCAGTGATTTCTCTAACCTCTGTGTGGATGGATAAGAATAGGAGTCGTGCTGTCATTAGTCATGATGGATTCATTGTCTGACAGAATGTTAATCAAAAGAAATGAGGATCGTGTATGTAAGAGAAAGACATCTCAGAATATTCTGGTTTGTACCAACGGATTAGGAAAATCATCATGATTCAGCAAAGGAGATGTCTATTTAGCTAATTTAAACAGGATCTGCACAATCTAACCATATTGTGTTGAGGCTAAGTAACCAGGAGAAATTCAAAATGCACAGCAAAGAGACTCAGCGGCTGATGCTGTGATATAAAGGCAAAGCTTTGTAAGTACCCTGTAAGAATTGTGGGGCCATAAACACTGCAATATTATATCTGTTTAGAAAAAATATGAGACAGAATTCAATGATGACCTTATCTGAGCTACAAATTCTTGTCAATTATTATATGCTTGTAGGGACATGTTTAATAGATGGCAGAAAGTCCTTCTCATTTGTCCTCAGAGACAGCACTGATATTGCCCAGCTAAGAAATGCATTATACGGCTACAAAAGAGGCAATTTGATTTCATGAGCACGTGCCTTTATTATTTTAAGAATAATTTAACTTAGGCGGGGGAAAGCAGAATCTGTATGACAAAAGACCAAGTTTTCCAACATTTGCAGTTACCAGCCCTGTAGTTCTTGCTTTTCCTGGACTCTTTTTCTTTTTTTTTGGCAGGGAGGGGGAGGTTATTTTTGTTTTCCTCCCCATTGACTCCCCTGGGAGTTTCGCCTCACCTAAGGCAGAGGAGTTTGTCTTATATTCCTAAGACGTGCGAGTTTTAGCCTGGTACATGGTTTGGGTGTTGATGTTGCTCAGAATGCATATGCCTATGCAATACTCGCTCTGTGCTGCTGAACGTGCCCTTAACTCCCTTCTCTTTGTTGTTACAACAGACGAACCAAACTCCTGGAGTGCTCCCTCTGCCACCTCCCCAGGTCTGCCGGAAGTAGCTCTTTCCCTCGATGACATAATCTCACCATTATCTTCATCACACATAGCCCCACCCTCTGACCCTTCTCACCAGATAAGCCCAGAGCCAACATGGGATATCAAGAGGGAACACGATGTAAGGAAACCAAAGGAGCTTTCAGTGAACAGTCACAAAAAGAAAAGGTTAGGAGAACAAAGAGAAAGGTCAGCAAGTCCTAAAAAGGTAGACAGGTCAAAGCATGAAGAGGCTTCTTGGAAAGGATATTCAGAAAGCAAAAATAAGATCACTGATGGTGGCAGGCCCACCTCAGAAAGCAAAGTGGTGGGACACAGCATTATGATGGAGGCTGGCGCAAGAGAGCACCTGTGTGCTGGGACCAGTGATGAACAGTTTGGGAGGCTGAGGAAGCCAGAAAGCAAGAGAGGAGGATCTCTTAGCAAAAAAGAAGATCACAAATCCACAAACACCAGTGAGAAGAAGTCAGCTGCAGCATCTGACCATGTCAAGCTTGATACAGGTGCTACCAAGACGTACAGTAGCAACCGCTGCAGCTCACCTGGAATTGATATGGACCACAGCCAGAGGGACGCTGATGGGAAACCCAGCGAGTTCCCCAGGAAGGGACATCTCCACTCCATTAGCACTCGCAGCACCAACACCACAGTTCGAAAGGCAACGGTCTCCCCAGGGCCGTGGAAAATCCCTGGCTCAGATAAGCTACCTAGCGTTCTGAAGTCTGGTACTTCTGCCATGAGCAGATAAGCAAGGGACTGTTGCCCTCTAACTGTCTCAAATTGACGCAGAACATTCTTCTTAGTTTTTGTCTCACATTGGTTTGTTTTAATTTATTTTAACTATCACACATATACACAAAGCATTGAGGAATGAAAACATTAGTGTGTAATTCCATGACAATGTGCACAGTATCTAAGAAGTTCGGAAGCATATAGTCAACACAGAGATTTAAAATCGACCCTAAAGTCCCAGTTCCATTTTAGGGACTTTGGCAGCTATGGAAGAAACCAAAACAATATGAAGGACAGTACATCAGAGAAGGATAGTGCAGTGTAGCTTTAGCATTTTTTTCCCACTGCATGAAGGACTTGGATTTCATTCAAACTTTGTATCAAGAAACTGGAACAAGTTAGAGCAATCACAAACTGGAACATCGCCTTAAATAAAACTGCACGGAGCAAGCTGAAATCGAGAGAGGATCTTTTCATGGAGCTAAAATGTTGTAAATAAATTGTTCTCAACATATCTAGACAGGGGTTAAAGGGTTTCTTTGAAGCATCGTTTGGAACTGTACACCCATGACGCGTCTCCACTGTTAACGCTTTGGGATAGTCCGCGTGATAGCCTGTAGCATAGTTCACTGGGCGCTACGGGAGGAGTGGGGAAGCCAGTGGATTAGTTTCTGTGATACCATTTCTACTGCCATTTTTGTGAACAAACCATGTTTCTGTACATTGGAAAGGAGTTAGGGTGGAGTTGTATTTGCAAATTATTCTCAAAAGCAATTTACTACAGGTTCCCCAAATCCTGTGAGGTAGCACATAAACCTATTGGTCAGGCTCAAAACCCAGACATCTGCAAGGCCCTTGCTATGAAAAGAAGAGTGCTACAGAGAAGAAGCTGCAGTTTCCTTAAGGAAAGGCCTTTCCCTCCTGCAGAAAATGAGAGCTTCACTTATCGACAGTGCTATGTTTCATACCCATCTACATTTAGTTAGGACACGCTCACCTTTCATCCCCTCAGTTTGGCAGAGCAGGTGCCTCTAAGGCATATGTTAACAATAATTAGACTGGTTTCTGAAATATAGTTGTCGGTGTCCTCATTCAGTAAATTCAATATATTTCCATTTTTTAAATGGTTTCCATTTTGTCATTTCTTCCCTACCTCCATTTTTTTTTTTTTAGTCTTTTTTGGTTTTCTCTTTCTTGCTTGTCTGTTTTGAATTTCAAGCCTTAAGTGCCAGGTAAACATTCCAGTCTGCCTTCACAGGAAATAACTCCTAGTTCAGTCAATCAGTCATTATCTTGTTTCAAAAAGATGCGTGTATGTCTGTGTAAGTGTGCATATGCTTATTTGTCTGTCAAAATTAAAACAAAATCCTGGGCAATAATACATTGGTAATTAAAAAGAAAAAATCATAAAGCTAAGTACTGTTGAAAATTCATATTTAAAAAATAATGTTCTCTAGCAATCTTAGTTCCTCACATGCTCTGCTGAAAAAATAGATTGAGATTGGCTTTGTTCCAAGAAATTAGCACATTACTGTATGTCTCAAACATTGCACTGGACTGAGAAATTTATAGGCATGTTTCTTCCTGTCCAATTATTTGAAAAGCCTCAAGTCAAGGATTTTGCAGCTTTCAAACAATTTTTTTTAGAAAGAAAAGTCCACTTATAATTTCTAAAAAAGCACAAGTCCATGTAGCTGTTTATAAAACTTATTTAATGAAAAAAAAAAATCATCTTTATCCCCTGAACTAGAATCCGATATAATTTGCCATTAATTTATTGAATCTGATTTTGGACAATGCTTCTGTAGTGTAGATGCACGTCCCAGTATCTTATTTTTATGTGTAAAGGAAGCAAACAATGAAATCTGAAAAACAGTTGAGATTATGCTTGCATAAACTCTAATTTGCACAGTTCACAGCTACTCCTTGTGCAGTAATTGCTTTATGCGGCTGTAATCGATAACCTGTGAAGACAGCACATCATCTAAACCCCATTCCAAATAATATTTCTGTGTAGTGTTAGCTGTGAATTTACCCTGTACAGCTCTATCTCTATAAATATAATTCCATGTATTAATAGTCACAGAAAGGCTGTAAGTGAGCAACTATTTTTATGAAACGCACCACTATGGATAAATTAACTTTTACAGAAATCTTGTTTACTGTATGATATTCTAAACCACTGTCAAATAAAATATATATCCAAAAATCCTTTTTTTTTTCAATTGTACATAGTCTGTGTTAATTTTGAGTGACAGGCTTCAGTGTTACACCAAGAAACAATCCTTCACGTGCATATGATTAGAATTAACTTAATTAATGTAGTTAATTAACTACTGCATTATAAAAAAGGGAAAGCTCTGTTTTGATTTCTTACGCCAAAAAGGGGTACAATTCATTAATAGACCTGTAGGTGACCAAACAATTTACGTACAGGCAAGTTACGGTGTATGGGGCTGCAGAAATGAAGAGAAATCTTTCCCTTGGTGGAGAAACCTGAACTATTATTCTCGTTCTAGTCCCAGGAGACACAGGACCAGGGTGGCCAGACTCCTAGCACGGAGAGACAACTTCTGAGCATACACTGTATATACAAAAGGCATCTGGCAGCCCTAACGAGCCCTAGAAAGGTTTGTTTACAAGCTGAGTGAAGGGGGCAAAATTTGATTTCCAGTTTACTTTACAGAAACAGTGTCTCAGAAAACATCATAAGGGTGTAAAAACAATGGTAACCAGACAGCCTCTTCTGGGGCCTAATCCATCCGCTGTTGAACAGAACAGAAAAATGCTCCTTACCTTCAGTTAAGCAAAATAAATCACCAGTTTACAGACTGTAGGCACTGTAAGATGTGCTGGCTGGAAAACTACCAATGTTTTTCACATAATTATGACGGGTTTTAAAATAAATATTTTGGTTTTCCTTAAAATAACATGTTCTTCAAAAAATAATAATTTGGCTTCATACACCCTGAGTCAGTTTCTGTAGAGCCTCATTTTTTAGAAGATTAATGTTCCACATAAAAAATTTCAACCAGCTGAACTAATAACATAATTTTTCATTGCAATAAACACATAACAATTTTGTAGCATCTTTAACACTCCAAAAATATTTGCTGCTCTTTAAATAGTCACCATTTGCATGGCTGGAAATCTGAGTATGAGTCTGATTCAGACCCAGAGGTATCACAGGGAAGCATACTGAAGCCATATAACCTCACTTAGTCTAACTTTTTCTGCTAATAATATGTCCTTTCTCTCTTAAACATAATAGTACAGCATTTGCATTGTGTTGCCATTCTTATGTCCCCCTTTTAGCTACTTGTTCATACCTATGCAATAACATAGGAAATTGGATGTTTATTTTGATGCAGATTCTCTGCTCCAAACTCCAATGCACCGGTGTAAGTAAGTTTGCCTGCATGTGATCAGCAGTGCACATTTTGGAGGGAGTTTTGGTAAAAGCTCATAGGCAGATGTTGGTGCAGCCCTTTTCTTAATCAATGGCAAATGTTGGCTCTGGGGCTCGCTCTGTCTTCAGGTATTTCTCTGCTCAGTAGCTTTAGGAAGTCCACACAAACTGCAGACCCTGGAAGAGTAGATCTTCAAACAAGTTTAATAAAAAGGCCAGAAAATTTAACATCTCCCACAAAGTCTTGCCAAAGATGTTTTCTTTTCTTCCAGAAAGCAGCTGGACTGACAGCACTCTTCATTTAGGTACAACAGAACACAAACTGCACTGGTTTCACTACACCACCCTCCTGTAAACAGGAGGGACATTTGTAGCCTGTGTATCTACCTACTCCATAGCCTCAGTGACAAGACTGCCAACAATTTCACAGCAGTGTGGATAGATGTCTGCTAGGAATTAATGCAGAAGTTCAAGCACAGCCCCATTCCTTCCCTGATATTTTTCATCTCCCGTCTGAATGTGCAGCCAACCACCATTGTCAAGAATTTCTCAACTCCATCAAAGATCAGCTTCAGTCTGATTTGCACCATCTCTGCTGAATATGAATATCTCATACTTAGCCTCCTCTGTGTCCCAGATGCCCTCATCACTGCCAGATCTATCATGGATCTCTCCTCTTCCTTCACAGCTCCCTGCTGCTCTTGTTCTTAATCCTCCCTCTAAGATAAGTGCTGCTGTCTTTCAGTGGATTGAATCTTCCATTCTCCATTTTCCCCCTTCTATCCCTCAGAACATTGTCTTCCTTTTTTTCCCTCTTTCCTCCTGGCCCTCTCTCACCAGCTGACATCATTTGCCACTCTCAACCTCTACCATACATGTCTCAGCAGCTCCACATTAGACACCTCTGCTGAGAGGTGTCATGACTCACACTAGACAAGTCATTAACACACTCCTGAGTGTCATATAAACATATAGACACACCTAACACCTTGTATTGAAGCCCAACTCATCGTCTGCCTTGGCCTCCAGAAACTAGCAGCAGTTACTGATTAAACTAACTCTACCTGCAGCCAGTAACTCCCTTTGAAAGTACAAACAGTGGTTTTTCTGCAATGCTATTATAGCTAAATGTCCGTACTGATAATGGTGCTTCAAGCATTCAGGCCAGGTTTTGTGGCTTCAACATGCTATGTTCTCTACTGGAAGTCTCCAAATTCATTTTACAAAGGCGAGGACAGGCAAAGCTGTAGGCACATTTCTCTCTTAGCCACCAAACTCTTCTTGTATATCACTGTTGCAGCAGAAACCTGGGGCCAGAACTGCAGAGATGTAAGTAGAAGAGCACACCTCAGCTAATGAGGATGTTGCCTTCCATGTTTCTCCTTGCTTGGAGGGAAGCTTTGGTGTGAGGGGGAGAAGTTCCTTGGTACACTGCCATGGAGGTCAAAGTTAGAGAAGCCTTTGGACTTGCCCAGGGATGACTGATCTCATTAGGGATTTACTTCACAGTTCACTTTGATAAGTCTCCAAAAGAGTCCTTTCCCTCTTTTGTCCCCATGACATCTAGGATATTTTCTGTAATTGTTGCTAAAAAGGCTACCCAGGCAAGGCAGGCTGCCTACTCTCATGACTGATAGAGGACTTGGAGAGAATTTCCACGGCTGTGTCACGCAGGGCTCCTAGCCCCACATCTGTTAGGCTCAAGGACTCCCAAGGCTGTTTCTCCTATCATGTCAGAGCCAAACATCACCTTTACTTTCACAGCTGCCATCAAAACAGTGAGCCTTTTTAATTAGCCATTACTCCCAAAGGAAATCCAGTGCACCATCTGCACAGAAACAACTGTGTTTTAGGGGGGGACAGGACTCTAACACCACCTATGCCCCAAGCCCCTTGCTAGACAGCCCTCAGGTCCCCTCCTCAGCACCCAGGACTGGCCTCTCCCTTGGAGCAACAGCCTCTTCCCACTGCCCAAATAAGTACCCGTAGGCTCTGCCTAGACAATCACCCTCCTGCAGCCTTCATGGTCCCAGGATACCTTTCTTGGTATTTCTGATAGTAATGATGTGGTCACACATTTGTCTCCACAGCCAGTACCTAAGCTTAGAGTAATTTTTTTTTAAGTATATTGTCAAGACACAGTAACATAAGCAATATCTCTGAATTACAGCCAATCTAAAAATGATGTTCTGTCCTTTCCTGCCTTTAGTGCCTCTATGGCAATAAGTCACTCTGCCAGTTCAATTAATAGATAAGGAGAGTTTTGCTTACAAGGTACAAATATATCTCCTTTAAACAGCTAGGGGAACATCAGTGCACAAATACCTGCTCCCACTCGCACACATGGCGGCCTGGAGCACCACCTTCCACTCCCACTCAGGAACTTCCAAATATCCGTGTCTGAGATGGGTGACTGTGCCTCTCAGGAAAAAAAAAAAAACACGTAAGGATGCAGACTGATCCAGAAAGCTGTCGGTTTTCCACAGGTAAACTGCTTTATGTGTTTTAAAGGCAGAAGATATTTAAACTGAGAAATAAGCAAGAAAGAGTGCAGGGAGAAAGAGAAGGAGGGACAGGGCTTTCTGGGATGCAGCTGCCTGCTGACCTGCTTTATTTTCAACTTCTTCAAGCTTAAACATGAAAAAAAATTACCTATCAAATATGACAAGTGCTGCAACAAAGCACTGCAAGTTTTGGGGACAGCAAGAAAGGATATTTGGTGGTTACATTTCTGAAAAAAAAGAACAATTTATCGGAGTAAAAGGCCTGATTAAACACAAAGAGGGACATGATGCCAGAGGAGAGGAGAACACTCTGTCCTTTGCCCTCCAGGGGCAACTCGGGTGCTGATGGGCTTTTCCAACACAGACTAATCCCCCGGTTTCCCCAGAGGTTGCAGCCACGTTGAGCAGCCTCAGCAGCTCACTGGCACTGTAGCGATAGGCCAGCAGCAGCAATTACTTCCCTGTGATGTAGGAAGGTCGAGAATCCAACCCCTCTGATGCTTCTTCTCTTTACCTCTGTGCCCCAGGACTGCTGCATACCACCAAGGGACAGCCTTGTTGCTCTCCCAAAGATGCTGTAGATGTGGAAGCAGTGGGAGGACTGACTAAAACATGAAAGCCAAATCCAGATCTGCAGTGAGAGCCCCAGTGCAGCTTTAAGTTGGGAGAAAGGTTCTGAGCAACTGCAGAGCTGCAGCTACAGCAGAAGCCCCAGCAGGAGTGAGGTCAGGGCACTGGCATCCTTCTGTTCCTTCCTCCCAGTAAATTGGGGCCATTGATATCACTGAAGCCACATTAATTTTTATGCTGCTTTTCTAACACTCTACCAAAAAAATGTAGGTTTTACTTCCTGAATTGCCCTTTGCTCGAAAGTCGTGAAAAACAACTGGCAACCAAACCACTCCAAAACACCCTCTCCTCCCATCACCAGGCTCTGCAGATTCTATTCATACATATCACAGAATCACAGAATGGTAGGAGATGGAAGGAACCTCTGGAGATCATCCAGTCCAACACCCCTGCCAGAGCAGGTTCACCTACAGCAGGTCACACAGGAATGCATCCAGGCGGATTTTGAATATCTCCAGGGAAGGAGACTCTACAACCTCCCTGGGCAGCCTGTTCCAGTGCTCTTCCACCCTCAGAGTAAGGAAGGTTTTCCTCATGTTGAAGCAGAACTTCCTGTGATCCATTTTGTGCCCGTTGCCCCTTGTCCTGTCACTGGGCACCACTGAGAAGAGCCTGGTCCCATCCTCTTGACACCCACCCTTTAGATATTTGTAAGTGTTG